GTGGCAAAAGTGCTTCGAAAATTGGTTCGAGCCATACAAAAGTGTATAGATCTTAATGTGGAGAATTTTGAAAGGCTGTCAAGCGATTTTCATTAAATAGTATTTGTCCCTGTTCTCAAATCCCGAAATATAAAAGGCAGCTTACGTAGTCTTTGGTAGGTGATCGAACAATAAGGTACAGTATTCGGCGGATGGGGCTTTGAGTATCGTATTGAACCCAACCCCTTGAAAGTAATGCTCTTTAACTAGTACTGTTATACCTGGGTACAGTTTCATTCATTCCTACTTTCTAACTTATTCAGGTCCGTGGTTACACCATTTCGTATGGCGTCGCTACTCCGTCACGACGAATTGTCATCGAAGGTGTCAACACGAATTCGTTCACCCTGAATCGATTAGGTAAATGAAGTGAAGGAAATTTTCCAGAAATTTCTTGGGCAAGTTTTTAATGGCAGCAAAATACGCTTTGAACGATGGCAAACTTCATCTGATTCGACGATTACTGAATTCGGTGAGGAGGGTGTTGACCTGTGAGCGGAATTTTTGTGGGGGTGAATAGCTGCCATTATAACGGGGCGGAGTAATGGGCCAACTGAATGGATTGGGCTCCGACTTTTCTTCCTAGACAAAGCTCTGGATGAGGTTCAGAAAGAGGAAGGGGCTACAGTTTACCCACAAGTGGATTTCATTCCGTGGGTTTCGCGATCCTGTACACGTTCAATGATTTTTCAAGGTTCATGGGTAGAGCTTACGCAGTGCCAACTGCTCTTGTCCGTCATTGAGGAAATACACACCAGCAGAGAAGGCTGGACGGTTTTAGGAAACACATTCAAGCTTTGGGCCTCATGTATCAAGTTCATTTGCATATGTTATAGTCTAGGATCAGCCACGGATTTGGAAGACCTCTAAATCTTCTTTTACAGAGCCGGATACGGACTACGTATTCGCCGTAGGTGCTTATAACGAAGCCGAAGGCGAGGATGGAGAACCAGTATTTCTTTCGGCTCGAACGTTGCCAAGTGACGGTATTCACTTACTTTTATATTTTATTTGATTTATTTCTATTGTATACGGTCTTACCGAGATAGTCTGACTGGTATCTGTGTCTTACTGCTCCTTCTTATTCTTTTTCTAGCCTTTCTGTAAGTTCGCTACTATTTAGTTTTACGGTCAATTTCTCAGTTTAGGTGCACCCGCCTTCTCCCTGTGGCCACCTATCGCTGTACGAGCACAATCGCCTGCTCCTGGAATAGTTACGGTATCATGGGAGGATCCGAATCCTGAACAGGATATCGAGAACGAAATCGATGGCACTCAACGACACTACCTCATACAGTAAATACTATTTCTCTATAGGTTTACAAAATGTTGGTATTACTGTACCCATATTTTTCTGTAGGTATGGTATCTACCAATCGGAGCAATTGTCCAAAATGCGTTCGAATTCACGGCATGTCAAATTGACCGGTTTACTACCAGGAAAAGAGTACGAGATCGCTGTGAAAGTGGTCGGTGATGATGGACGAGAAAGTCCATGGAGTATTCGTGACATTGTGCTCACCCCTCCAGGTATGCCAGGTTCCCAAGCATCTTTTCCGTTCTGTTCCGTATTCATCTCCCAGGTAGGAAGGGTTAAATCAAGTTGAGCTTGACGTGTGTTATTTTGGCCCTCGGAAAGGTTTTATTTGGGCGTTTTCATAGAATTCCCGGTTTAGATCCATCTAAAGAAGTTTCGCGATATGACTGGGAATGTGATTTCGAGAAAGATCTGTGTGGAATGCGCAACGGTGATGGCGTCAATTGGATACGTAGCGGTGGATCGCCACCTGCCGAAAGTGGTGAGTATTACTTGTTATAGTGGAAGGGTCAAGTGGCGCAGGGGCAGTATCAGTCACACAGCACTTACACTGCCCAAAGGATCAATTCCCTCCGTCAGATGGAAAACTATTCATCGATAAATATCGACTCAGTCGCTTTCATGTACACCTCTTTGGAAGGAGGAAGGTATACGCACAGATGATTCTAAATGGTGTTCCCAGTCGCCTCACATATCTCCGCGCTTGTACAACTCGTAATGAATCCGAGTGCGTGGCTCATCCTAGGGAACATCGATTCGGGCCGTCAAATTTATTCATAACCTGCACTTGGTGACTGGATGAGCTTCAAGCTGGCTTTATATGAGAAAATTTATTTACTATTTTTTATATCACATTCTCATTTAATAATCGATTTGCTATTATTTTCGAATTCGGTGTTTTAATTAGTTTATATTTCTATGGAGATTCTCTTTTTGAAGTAATTAAATACCGTATGCTACCAAAGTCCGGTAACCGTCCTACCGAGCAAAATCCTTCATATAAGGAAGTAGATTTGGGTGGATAGTTACCATGAGATTTCCCATTTACTGTATTTTTCTTCTTTTTTTTGAGATACATAGCTTTCGAGAATCAATAGAAGTCCGGCGTAAGCCATACGTTTGACGGTTACTCATATTTTGGAAGTGTTTCGATGCGCATTGAGGCAGTACAGGGTTGTGGGAGCAATAGATACACTCTATTATTGCACATAGGGAATCATTTGAATCAATCAATTGACCTTAAGAGATCCCCTAGCTAAGCGGACTTGAGGGGTAATTGATTCCGTAAAATAGGTAAATATTAAGGTAATTCATAGAGGTAGAGTAATATATTTTTTTATAGAAATAATTTTACTTGTTAATACATTCCGAGAAAGAAAGTTTAAAACAAAATGCCAAATGCAAACAAAAAACAATGGAAAATGGTAAAATAAATAAAAAACAAAAAAAATAGTGGAATGAGTAGAAAACACTGAAAAGTAGCAGAATGAGCAGAAACTAAAATTAAAAAATAAATAAACTCAGTTGCAGATGTCAGTAATTTGTTACTGAATATTTTTCGAATTCGTTGCAGTAACTACATTTTACGAAAGTGGGCTTAATTTAGATTATTATAGGCCATAATATTTGAATTACTAAATAGAAAATCTGAAATTATTTTTTCGGGTAAAATAATGTACTGGCATTATTTTGTATAATCCATAAATTATTTCAATGCTAACTGCATATTTTAACGTAATGCGAAACAATATTGAGGGGTAAAATGGTGCTTTGCCGAAGTAATGGGCGTTAATATTTTAATAATGAAAAATTTATGAATAGGTTCTACTCCATCGCGGGACCCTAGCCCTAGCAGCACATGGGAAGTATGATTTGACTTATCCAACACATTTTTCCCGGGAAAATGGCCATAAATGAGGTCTGGCAAGTCGCCAACACGGTGAAACGGGAAATCGATAGCCGAGCGTTAGTCGAGTGCATCTGCCTGGGTGGCGTTTTCTCTAGTCCCTCTGCGGTAGGTGGAGGCCACCCACGGAACTCGTTAAGTGTACGCTGCGCCGTCGCACAGCATTGGACCACACATTGGGAGCGTCGGTTTTAACCCAGTATCTCAAGGTACTACGGGATTCTGACCTTCCACTTGTGGTTGCGTCAAAAACCTTAATTTTTGGATAGCCATCTCGGGGAATCCGGGAAGGCATTAAGATGTCAATAATTTGGGAGAGTGGTATGATGTTTACATGAGACCTTCGATCCTGGATAAGTTTTGTAAACATGTATAAGTGGATATGGTGAAGACTGTGGACTTGTATTCGAGATAAAAAAGGGCGACAAGATGGGGGATTTCATCCTTTGTTCAGTAGTTGGCGATGGCTGCTGCTGTTTGTTGTTGTGCAAATACTTTGTATACACAAGCATCAAGAATAAACAAAACCTGGTCATAAAAACAAAGAATTACGGGCGAAACGTCGTAGTTGGGATGTGGCATGAACAGAGATCTCACAAGTGAATGGGCTGTTTGTCCATCAAATGTTTGATGAGGGTTGATTGCTGGAGTAGTCATTAATTTGGGAATAAGCAAAATTTTTGCTTCAGTGGTGTGAAGGATAAGTGCAGTGTTCATTAGTTGAAGACAGCAGTTCGGTCCCGTCCCAGGTCGAATGCCAGAGTTCATAACTAAGCATTTCGAAGTCGACATTTTGTTTGGCATTTTATTTTACTATCGATATACCCTGTTTAATTTTTTATTTGCATGTTTACCCACTTTACAACAAACTATACACAAACATACAACTCTGTTCATTGGTACAAAGAGTTTACAATACAATTGCCCACACACTAACAGACCTCCTAGTAGACCAAAGCTCAAAGGCAAACACCACGACACTCGCTCCACTGCGAGAGGTTTCGCTGGGCAAACTCGTTAGTTGTACGGCGCGTCCCTGGGTGGCATCGCGGGACACGCCTGCTTACTTGGTTATAACCCAGTATCAAAAGGTACTAAGGGCTTCTGACCAGCCTTCAAGGTTGTGTCGAAACCGAAATTTTTGGATAGCCTTTCCGGGGGTTCCGGGAGGGCA